AAAAGTGTAAAAGAGTAGGGAAAGTAGGAAGGGTAGGGGGAAGGAAAGAAGGGAGAAGAAAAAATATGAGAAAAGGAAAAAGTGGAGACAAAGTCTTTGTAAATAGGGAGGGGTGAAGCGGGTGAAGGGAGGCAGGGGAGTGGGGAAAAAATAAGAACCAAGATCCATCATGTGGAGGTACAAGATCGCAATGACGAATGTAACTGTGCTATATACCTAAAAAGTACCTAGAAACTTAATGAAGAAAGAAAGAAAAAGAAATCAACTAAGGGGCCAGGGATTTAGCTCAGTGGTGCCACTGCCTGCCTTGCAATCACAAGGTCCTGAGTTTGATCCCAGGCATGCGCCCCCCTAAATCAACCAATTAACAAAATGCTGGCAGGGCTGTAGGGCAAAGGAACCTTTCTCCATAGCTGGTGGGAGTGTAAGTTGGTACAATCAATATGGAAATCAGTATGCAGATTCCTCAAAAAACTAAACCCAGAGGTTCCACTTGACCCAGCTGTGCCCTCCTTCTGTGGTGGTTACCTCATTGGCAGCTTGATTGGGAAAACCCAGCTGAACTGAGTCAGTGTGGCTCTTGGCATGGAAAGATCGGCTTAACGGAGGATCGTTGTCGAAACAGTGCAAAGGGAAGGTGGGAGGGGAGGACTTCGTGCTGATTTTCCTTGGAGGAGCTCCAGTCTTTGGCTTAGCGTTGTCTCCTAGCTTTCAGCCCCAATTTTTCAGCTCCCAGAACTAGTGTCCAGCCTGCTGGACACTGAAGACTCGCTTGCCTCCAGCAACATATGCACATCCATGTTTATAGCAGCACAATTTCTAGTAGCTAAATCTTGGAAACAGCCCAGATGTCCATAAAGAGATGTACAGGGAAAAAATGTGTTTGTCATATACAATGGAGTACTACTCTGCTATAAAGAAGGATAAACTTGAGAGATTTTTAGGTAAACAGATGCACCTTGAGACCATACTTTTAAGTGAAATAAATAAGACACATATGTTTAAATATTTGTCTTGTGTGAGAAATCAAAAGCATAAATAAGAACCAAAATGGATGATAGATATTGGGAAGTAGGAAGAAAATATTCCAATGAGAAGGGGAATAAGGGAGGGGGAGATAGGGGAAAAGAGAGTACAGAGGGTAAAAATGGGAACAAAGCTCTTGTAAATAATGACGGGAGGAAGGGTTGAAAGGAGGGGAGGGGGTGGGGGAAAAGGACTCAAGATAAATCATGTACAGGTACAAACTCTCTACGATGTGTGTGGCCATTATGGATATCAAAGTATACCAGTTAAATCAATTTTATAAAATAGAAACTAGTTTCTCAGTGTTTTATTTTATTTATATGTTTATTTATGTTTTGGTTTTTTGAGACAGAGCCTTGCTATGTAGGAGAGAAAGTTCACAGTCCATAGGCTGCCCTTGAACTCACTATGTAGTCCACGCTGGCCTCAAACTCACAGTGATCCTCCTGCCTCAGCCTCCTAAGTGCTGGGATTATAGTCATGTGCCACCAGCCCTGGCTCTCTCAGTGTTTCAAATTACACACACTGAACACATACTGGTGACAGAAATACAGAAATAGAGAAACCAATACAAGAAAATAATCTACAACCAAGATTTAGAAGGGTGAGTTGTTCCAGCATGGATTTTTCTTTGGAGACAATCCAGACTCTGCCCAAGCCTCGCAGGGCAGGAAGCACAGGCCGCGCCCCCACAGTGCTGCCAGGCTGCTGCTGGGTAGTGCACTGTGACGCACTGTGTGTCCCCTGCTCGTGGTGCTCCCCATGTGCCTCCTCCACAGCTGTCTGCTGTGCTGCGTGGACCCGGCATCTGTGAGCCCCAGAAAGCTTCTCACGAGGCCACATGACCTCCAGACCCTCCTGGATGCGGGCGACGTCCACTTGCTCCTCTGTGGCCAAAGGTCTTGTCGAGAACTAGCACCATCCAGCAAGCCTGGTGTTGGTCTGCTGACCAGTGGGCAGGCAGGGCTGCAGGGGCTGGGACAGCCTGGGAAGTGGGCATCCGTGCTGTCGGGCCTGTGGGTGACCTCTGCGGAGCACCTCTTGGGTGGAGGATGGTCTGAGACACGCACCATTTACATCTTTGCTTTAAAGAATGGTTCGATACAAATATATGAACAGAATAAGTTTGTGGGTAAACATTCTCAGAGCAGTTAGGCATCCTATTCCACCTTGTGACCACTGTATTTAGCAAGTGACTCAAATTTCATTCTACTTTGTTCTCAGCATTTATACTTTATGATATAGATTTACTTTTTTGTTTTGTTTTGGTTTGGTTTTTCGAGACAGGATCTCACTATGTAGTTGAGACTGACCTGGAACTCACTATGTAGCCCAGGCTGGTTTTGAACTCACAGCGATCCTCCTGCCTCAGCCTCCTGAGTGCTGGGATTATAGGCATGCGCCACCACATCCAGTTTATGATATAGATTAAAATTATCTTAATAGAAAGGCATTTTTAAAAAGTTACATTCAATTGTTTTAAAGTCACTTGACTTGAAAGCCAACCAGACAGTGGTTTATCAAACATAGATATTTGAAAGGAGTTTTTTAATCAATGAAAACTAGGAGTTGGGTTAGAAACTATGGAAAGGAGGGAAGGAAAACGCTGGTTTCTGCTTGATGTGTTTTGCTAATGCAACCTTTTCTCTCTACCTGGTTGTTTGTTCCTTTGGCGACATGGGACTGGCAGAAGATGTTGGGGCCCCTTGTGGAACTCTCTCCTGCAGTGACTTGGCTCCATACAGGAGGAGGTGGTGTGGCCAGAGGTGAATCAGTACAGCCAGGTTTCCTTGCTACAGTACTGGGGGAAAGGGAGCCCTTCTGCTTTTCTTTTCCTCTCAACAAATATGATGACCCTCATTAGCGTGGTGTGTACATGTTTGTACTTTCTCTTTCAAGATATTAACTTCATTTTCATCTTTTAAAGTGTAAGATTTCCCACACTTAATTTTTCAATCACTTCAATGAAACTTTCTGTGTATTTTTTGCACCATCATAAAACCAAACCAAAATTAGCATCAGGAGAATTCTCCAACCAGATACATTTCGCAGTGTTGTAACATAGGTGCTTGGAGGGGACATTTAGCTCTTACAAGCTGTACAAGTCTGGTAGCACCTCAGTATTCTCTCCGGTATTTTTCTGGGAAATTGTTGGAGCTGTGTTTACTGACAGTGTCAGCAGATGAGGGGTGTCTAGCAGTGAGAGGAGCTTTCAGCATTTGAGTAATAAACAGTGATCATAGTCCCATCACTAGCTGTTTGAAGAACTTCTTTAGGACATTTCTGAGGAGTGAGCCCCTTCAGAATCTCCTCCTCTGAGTCAAGTATGTGTATCCTAGCCTGTCGGTTTTCTGTTTGGTTTTAACGTGTAAAAGATCAAAGCAGTCTTAACGCCTCGTAGCGAACCCAACATTGACTCCATACCCTAGTCTTGCTTTGTTTGGAAAAAGTAAGCCCAGAATAGGTTCTGCCAGGAGCAACGCCCTGTAGATCACTGTGGCCAGGCCTAGCTCACCTCCTCCCATGGAGGCTGTGGTGGAGCAAGGCCTGGCTGGGAAGAGGATGGTCTTCCTTCCCCTCATTTGCCAGAGAGACATCAAGAGTTGTCACCTGCGGACCCTAGTGCTCACTCTCTCTGTCCCTGTCAGGCAGCCCCTTCCGGTTTCCTTGTTGACACTGTAAATAAAAGTGCTGAGGATGCAAGCCAAGCTTCTTGCCTCATCAGGACAGTTTCCACCTGGCTCAGCTGTGTAAGCTGCACTGTCCTCGTTGCATTATTCTTCAAGTTTCTTAATCTCTCGCTATCATTTCTCATCCACAAACCCTTCAGCCACTGGGCCGTGGCAAGGTTCTTGTTGAATTATCTCAGGTTCACTATGAAGTCTGGTGCTATATTTCATGGTATTCAGCTGTTTTACAGGAAGTGCATTATCAGAAGGACCAGAGCTCCACTTGGCTCTTTTCTAAGTCCAGGGATTTCTTGCTGCGTCCTGAGAATCTGGTCAGCCGAACATCTCATGTTGCTGTGCTCTGTATTTTCTCTCAAATGAGTGTCCACTCACACATCCCCAAACCACTGTCATATCATTTCCCTCTGAGGTGTTTGGCCTGAAAATGGAAAAGGATTTTTTTTTCTGGACAAAGACGATGGAAAAGTGTTCACTGTTATCTTTCACAGGATGATTTTTCTTTAAAGAAATGACAAATATTGTCATTGTCCTCATTTTATTCTCTACCTGATTTTTTGGACTTTGAAAGCATTTCTGGTGAGTGACATCATTCCAATGTATATGTTTTTGTTTGAGATTGACTATTAGAAGTGCTGGACCTATCAGAGAAATGGGCTGTATGGGCTGTTGAGAATCTGACCTTTTTTCCACACCTTGCCTTACTCTTGCCTCCTCCTCCGCCGCCTCCTCCATGTGCCCCACCCCTGTCACTTCTTTTTTAACAGGGCCCAGAGCAGTCAGTACAGTCATTGGATTAGACACTGGTCAGCCCTCTGGGTCCACAGGCTGACTGGAGCTTTTATACTTGAGGAAGAATTAAATTCAGCACTGGCTCAAGAGGTTGCTGAGACCAGCACTGCATCAGCTCCTCAGGACATGGAGGAAAGAGTCCAAGCGGAGAGAACCAGGTAGATGATTCCTGTGCCACCTGCCCCTGCTCCCCTCCAGGTGCCAGCTGCCTGCCTTTGTAAGACTAAGAGGCATCCACGAAAACCTAAGCTGGCACTCATGCTGGCCAGGAGGGGTATGATAAATGGCGCCAACAGCACACTGTGTAAAATGGTTTTGACTTGATGGTGTTTATCTATGGAAAAACTGTGCATGTCTGTATTGGCTGAGACACTCGGATGGCACAGGTAAAGACACAGTTTACACACTACAGTGGAGAGCAGGGCAGGGTCTCAACTCCCCACTCCGAAACCTCTGGGAGAGGTCTCTTCCGCACCCTGCCAGCTAGCAGCCTACATGGGTGCTGCTGCTGAGAATGTGGGAACGGGTAAGTAAGGCAGTAGCCTTTAAAACAACAGGATCTGTCTGAATTGTGACTTGTCACTAACTGGCTGAGTGGCTTACTGTCTTCTGATTCTCATTTTGTCATCTGCCAAATACGTGACAGTAACATCTCTTTTCCCTTAGTTCCTCTTTTCCCTATGTTCCTAAAACCGTAGGGAGCACTTTTGATACCTTTAATCACCACTGTCCCTTGTAAGGAAGATTCTCTGAAGATGAGAACAGGGAGCAGTGAACCTCTCAGTGACCGCCTGTGTCTCAGGTTGGGTGCAGAGAGCTGGGAATGAGGCCTGGCCTGTCTGCAGCCTTAGTTGCCGTGTGGTACTAGCACGTTCAACGACTCTGGCTATCCTCAATACGAACGCTCCTGTCTAAGCAACAACGAAAAGGGCAGAGATAGCAGTTAGAAGGCTGCGGAGACTGGCGGGGACCCCGGTGCGCCCCTGGTCCTGCCCCCTGGGAGAGCCCGTGCCTGTGCTCAGTGCACAGCACCACATGTCCAACACCCCGGATGTGGCTGAGTGAAGGCAGCTCTGGCTCCCAGGGCCAACAGGGCCAACCCAGACAGAAGCAGATGCTCCTGGGCTCTCCACCTAATTCTGAAGCGATTAACTTGTATTGTTTTTCTGAAAGACCGCCTTGACTTCACACAGTCTTTGAGTCAGGCACAGCTTTAACTCCTCCTGTCCCAACACGCTGTTTATTTATTTATATTTATTTATTTGGTTTTTTGAAACAGGGTCTCACTATGTAGTTGAGACTGACCTGGAACTCACAATGTAGCCCAGGTTGGTCTCAAACTCATAGCAATCCTCCTGTCTCAGCCTTCTGAGTGCTGGAAGTGCTGGGATTACAGGCGTGCGCCATGACACCCAGCCTAACACGTTTTTTAAAAATCTGTCAGAACACAAAGAATCTGAATAGATGAAAGTAGGACTTCTTGACTTTAAACATAGAGAATTATTTTAGAGCCTGTAATCCCAGCACCCACAAGGCTGAGACAGGAAGATCACTGTGAGTTCGAGGCTAGCCTGGGCTATGTAGCAAGACCCTGTCTCAAAAAGCCACAGGCATGGGCTGGGGATTTAGCTCAGTGGTTCTGCCATCTGCCTCGCAAGTGCAAAGCCCAGAGTTTCATCCCTAGTACCAAAAAATAAAACCCCAAAGGCATGAGGAGGAATTGTTTTAAAGAAATATTGAATTCAGTTAATTTTTCTAGATGCTTCAAGAACTCAAAAAAATTACGGCTTAAGAAAGTCCCTTCTTCATAGGTTTTACCTAGCTGTGGTAGTGCTCAAGTCTTTTTCAAGGAGCTGGCAGATGCCTGGGGAGATTTCACTTTGGGCTGGCCTGTTAGCGCGGAGGCTGCTCCAGTATAAATGCATACACAGCTTCCAATATAAATGTTCTTTAAAGGAAAATGACCTGAAATTAGTCTTTTTCCTTTTGCTTTTATCTTTAAACTAGCAGTTATAAGATGAGTAATTTTCCTCCAAAAATGTTTTCACGTGTGCCTGACTTGGCATGGAGGGCTCATGTAGGAGCCGTCTCCCACCCGAGGACACTTGGTGCTGGTGCTGAGGGCTGAGCTCAGCCTTCACCCCAGCCATAAACCCTGTCTTCCTTCTTTCGCATTTTGAGGTAGGGTCTTACTAAGTGTCTAAATGCCAGGGCTGGGCTTGAATCTGTGACCCTCTTGCCGACGTGCGTCCGCTCCCAGGCCTGGCTTCCAGGGGCCACCTCGGGAAGAACGGGGCCCTTACGTAACAGCCCAACTGGACCAGTCTCAGCAGATATTAGTTTTGGATGTTTATCAAGACTAAATGAAAAACTGATATGTAACAGGGGCTGGGGATTTGGCTCCATGGTTTTGCCGCCTGCCTTGCAAGTGCAAGGGCCTGAGTTCGATCCCTGGTACCAAAACAAAAAACAAACAAAAAAACAAAACAAACTGATACGCAACAGCAAAATGAAAGAAAAAGAGAGATGAAACATTTAAAATCATAGTACAAAGCTTTATGATCTCCCTTTTGGGAAGGCCATATATGTATCTTTGTAAAACATGTAATGTTGAATCTGGAAACTTTATAGAAAGGGTTTAAAATGTGGAGAATACAAATGCATACAAGCAGGATGGCTCTTTAAAAAAGACAATTTCTGAACATCAGCTTGTTGCGTACATGGATCTTGGGATAAACTTTCCAATTACATTGTATGTAGATTCAAAAGCTTGGCTTGGGCCTGGAATTTAGCTCAGTGCGGCCGCCGCCTGCCTCACAAGAGCAAGGTCATGAGTTTGATCCCCAGTACCAACCAACCAACAAACAAAAGCTCGGCTTATTACACACTCAACAGGGAATGACAATTCTGTGCCCTGGGAAACTTCTAGATAATTTCAAAGCGACTCTGTCGGTAATGAAGACCCTGAGATTGAAGCTACCCTTGAACTGCTAGGGTTGACTCCTCCCTGACCAGCGGAAAGGCAAACACTAAATTAAGATTTCCATCGCCTTCACTGCACACACAAAGCATGCTTTCTAAGTGTCCTACATAGATACTCAACTATTTCAACCATGTCTGTCAAAGCTGATGTATTCAGATTGTCAAACACAGACCAATAAAAAAACCCTTTTGCCTTTCTTCTTGGAAAAAATGCTGGTCACATTACATCTGCCTGCGTGCGCCTTAGAACGAGTGAAGATCTCCAATAAAACACAGTTGATTCTGTTTGGAGAACTCAGTTGACACCTGTAATGTGAACTGTGTTTGAATTTTTCCCCCAGGAATGAAAACATTTTGAACTGCTTATACCCAAAGCCCAGTGCAATTTTCAGACTGATTTGCTTCCCCTGGGCAGGAGGTGGTTCTCTTTACTTTGCTAAATGGGGCCAAGAGATTTGTGATTCACTGGAAGGTATGTGAATTTTCATCATTATTTAAGTAATTTATGGGGCAAAAGATAGGCATGTACAGGTATTTGAGTTCACTGAGTTACTTGGATCTGTGGATTTATAATTCTTATTAAATTGGAAGATTTGTGATTATATCTTCAAAAATATCTGCTTTTCTCCTTCTATTTCTATATGGCATAAGAATAGATATTGTCCCATAAGTTATCAGGATGCTGTTCAATTTGCTTTATTTTTTGAGATGTGCCTGGACTTGGAACTTATAGTGATCCTCCTGACTCAGCCTCCCAAGTGCTAGGATTACAGGAATGTGCCAGTACTCCCAGCTTTGTTCAGTTTTTGAAAGTTTTTTCCTCTCTTCATCCCCATTGGAATGTACTGCCCTGCCTTCCCAAGATCTTCTGCCTGGATTGCCCATATGGAGCATTGTGAAACTGAAAAAAATCTTTTCTGTCATTTTGTGTTTATATTTCTTAATCTCTCGCTCACCCCCCATGATTTAAGTGAATTGCCCTGCGTGGGAAGGGAGCTAGACTTTGGTACTAGCTGAAGTCTTGGCATTTTAATCACCTGGCTGCCTTTGCTGACTCGCTATAATTTTTGCATCTCTTGTGTTGTAAGCTTCGCTTTCTTAGAAATAGAGCCAAGTTATAAACAGAACCCATCCATACAGGCCAAGTAACCAGAACATCTCCCCCGCAGGAAAGGGCTGGGATAATCTCACTTTTCTAAACAATTCTCTCCTACCCAACAAGGGCTCGCTCCCTGGGCAGCTCAGACGATCCATGCGTGTGTCAGTCTCCTGAAACAAACCATAACCAAAAATTTACGGCCCTGGAAAGGCATCGATAAGTAAATTATGGAACATAGCTAAAACTGGATATGGTGGCACTGTGCAAAGGACAATGGAAGCCGGACGAGGTGGTGCACGTTTATAATCCCAGCACTCTCGGAGAAGGACTGCCCAGCTTGAGCAGTTTAGCAAGACCATTTTTCAAAACAAAAAATAAAAAAGGCTGGGGATTAATCCAGTGAGACGACCTTGAGTTCAACCTGCAGCTCTTGGATAAAATCAATCCAATGAGGCACCCGTCGGACGGGCCACAGGAGGCTTCCCAGGAGAAGCTGGAGCCCAAAATAAGTGCGGTTCGGGGGCACCTGCCTACGTGGGGCGGGAGGCTGAGGGAGGAGGCCGATGAAGGCGGGGACGCCAGAGGAGCCTCGGCTCTGCCAGCGCTGAGGAGTGCGCTGCAGGAGGAGGATTCTCCAAGGCTGCTGCTCGCAGTGCTTTCCCGAGATGCGAGGCAGAGCGGCCTGCTCCGCGGGTGCAGCCCCTGGCAGGGCACTGGCCCAGGGAGCCCTGCGGGCTCCTCTCACCCGCAGCGCGGCCTGGGTCCCTGCCTGGAGCCGGGAACCCTTCCTAGACTAGGCCTGGAAGTGGTCTCCGTTCGTGCCTTCTAATGCATAAGCTTGTTTTTACGGCATTTCCTCCACTTTGCATTTTCCCGTATACTTTTCCGTATTGATGAGTTGAGTGACTTAATTTTCCTGGTTTTCTTTTGGCATAACTATTTGTCAGCATCCCCCTGACCACTGCTTTAATTGTATCTTATTATTTTTGACTTTTTAAAATTCCTTAACTTACTTTGTATTTCCTTTTTGACTTCAAGAGATCAATTTTAAAACACTAGGCAGAGGGCCTTTTTATCCGCGTGACGCTCCCGTTACGATTTTTTTCTCTTATTTTGTTGGGACATGTTAGGTGTACAGTAGTTACATTCATCATTGGGAACTTGTGCCTTTACATGACCCATCTTGGTCCTTATTTTCCCCACACCCCTGCCCTCCCTTCACCCCCTCCACCTCTCCCTACCTGCATAAGCTTTGTTTCCATTTATTTCTTATCTCGTATTTTTCCTTTCTCTTCGTTCCTTTCCCCTACCTCTCCCACTTCCTTTACCCCTTAATACCTTTTCTTCCTATTTCACAATATCAATTATTCGTTTTAAGCCTATTTACACTTTCAGTTTCACACCAGAGTAACTACTCAGCATCTGTACATGCGTGTCCTATTTATTTCATTTAAGTGTATATCCTTGGGCCGGGGATTTAGCTCAAGGGTGTCACCATCTGCCTCGCAAGCGAAAGGTCCCAAATTCAATCCCCATTACAAAAAAAAAGAAAGAAAAAGTATATCCTCAATGTGCATCCATTTAACTATAAATGTCTCTAATTTCTCATCCTTTATGGTTGAGTAGTACTCCATTTTATTTTAAAAAACTACCTCTTCTTTATCCAGTCTCCAGTTGATGGGCACTTAGGCTGTTTCCAAACTTTAGCCATTAGACACTGAGCCGCTATAAATCACGTGTATGATTTCTAGCTATATTGCATTCTTCTCGGAGCCCAGCAGGCCTCATTTCTTCTGTCGATCTTTTGTAGTGTTTTCCTTGTGACTTAGAACTGGGATCAGTTTTCATGAGTGTTCGGTGGTTGCCAAAGGAAGAGTGCATCTGTATCTCAGAGGGCGAGCTCCAGGCGCCAGGTTCTGTGTTACTGGCCGTGCTGATTTCTCCCCTCCAGGGAGGGTCTCCTGCCCCCAGCCCTGAGAAGTGTGCTGGTCTCGGAATTTTACCTTGCCCTGTATTAACACACAATCTCTGCTTTCTTTGTATTCCCATTTATATCTCTTTACATTAATCTTCCACTGGCACATGATTTATGCTTTCCGCCCCTTTCAGAATTGCTTTGCTCACTTGATTCCCTTCAATACAGGAGGTAATTTGGTTTTGCAATGCAGGAAAATAAAAAACTCTTTTCTTAAGGGCTAGAGGTGTAGGGGAAGTGGGAAGGGTAGGGGAAAGGAAATAAGGGAAAAGAAAAAATATGAGAAAATGAAAAAATGGAAATAAAGTGTTTGTAAATAGGGAGGGGGAGTGAAGGGCGGGCAGGGGTATAAGGGGAAAAATGAGAACCAAGACCTGTCGTGGTCTTGGTTTACTTCCTCTTCCTCTCCCATGAACGTACCTGTACTGTGTACCTAAAATGGACCAATAAACTCAATGAGGAAAAAAGAAACAAAAAAACCCTTTTCTTAAAGTAGGAGAACTAAACTCATATCATTGCTCAGACAAATATGATCACTCTCTGCCTTGCCTATCTTATCATATTTACTGTGTCTTTGCCAAGGTGTCAAGATATTATTTTCTATATCTTTTCTTTGAATATCTATAATTTTGCCTTTAGCAGTTATTTTCATATTTCAATTTCCTTAATCTTTATTTTCCTTGATTATGCTATTAATCTTTATTTTTGTCATTAAATTTATGTTCTGAGACAAACCTATTATGTATATAAAATCAATGAACTTATTTAGTTATTTATTTATTCATTGGGCACAGGGTCTTGCTGTGTCCAAGATGGCCTTGAACTCACTCTGTAGCCCAGCCTGGCATCAAACTCTCAATGATCCTCCTGCCTCAGCCTCCTGAGTGCTCAACTACAGGCATGAGTCACCATGCCTGGCGTTTTCACTTTTTTCTTAGCTCTATAAAGTATTAGATCTACTTTAGCAGAACATGTAACATTTATTTTAGGTTAGTTTAGTTTTAGTTTTTCTGAGACTGTGTTCAGGCTGGCCTCGAATTCATGGCAATCTTCCTGCCTCAGCCTCTTAAGTGCTGGGGTTATAGGCATGAGCCACCGCAACCAGCAGAGCATACAACATTTATATATAGCTTTACCACCCTCACCCACCTTTTCCCTTTTCCCCTCCTTCCCTCCTTTGGTCAGTCCGTGTCTGCAGTGCATACCGACAGCACTCACCACGGGGAGCTGGTGCATGTACAGGACACATCCTAGTTCTTTTTACTTCCTCTTCCTCTCCTTCCATCTCTTGGTCCTTTTTCCTGCTGCAAAAGTTCTATCTCCCTGTTTCCTATCATCAGACTATTATTTTTCTCTTTATTAATATTTTGGGCTCCTCGGAAGAGAAAAAAATGTGATATTTAAGCTCGTGTGTCTGATTTATTTCACTTAGCATCATGGTCTCGGTGCATCCATTTTCCTGCAAATGACACAAAATTATCCTTCTTTATTGCAAAGTAATATTCCACTGTGTATGAACACCACATTTTCTTTATCCAGGTGAGGGGCACACAGGCTGCTTCCAGGATTTAACTATTATGGATTGTGCTTCTATAGCCATGGGTGTGCATGTATCATTGTAATATGACGTCTTTAATAGTTTTAATATTTAGAACTGTTATCTCCTCCTGTTGAATTTTGCATCAATCAGTATGTAGTGACTTTTTTTTCCCCCGCCTCTTCTGAATAGTTTTGGCTTGAAGTCCATTTTGCCTGAAAAATAGGATAGTGATTCCTGCTTGTTTGGGGGCTATAATTTCATAAAATATTGTTTTCCATCCTTTGAATTTTAGATTGTGAATATCTTTTTGGATTAAATGTGTTTCTTGTCACAGCATACTATTCACTTTTGTTTTTTGTGTCTGATCTCCCAATCTGTGTCTTCTGATTGGGGAGTTTAGGTTTGCACTGAGAGTTGTTGAAAGGTACTGACTTACTCCTGTGGTGGTGTTCTCTCCTGTTGCTGACCCCCACCCCTGATTTTTGCCCGTTTGCCCTGCCTGGTATATTCATTCCATTAGACTTTCTGGCATTGTTGGCCAGAAAGGATATTCTTTGATGATATTTTGGAGTGCTTGTTTGGTGGTCATGAAATTTTAAGGTGCAATTTTTCTTGGAAATATTTATTTATTCATTAATTTTAAGAGAGTTTTGCAGGATTTACCGGTTTTAGTTAGAATTTATTTTCTTCTATGGCTGGAAACATGTAACTCCACGTTGAGAAGTCTGCTGTAATTCTAATGGTTTTACCTTGTAAGTGATTTGATGTTTTTCTCTAACAGCCTACAATTTTGTCTTTGTGTTGGACTTCTGGAATTTTGACTATGATGTGTCACGGAGAAGATCTTTTCTGATTGTGCTGTTTGGGGTTCTATATTCCTTGCTTATCTGTCTGGTAAATTCTTACCCCATGTTTGGACAGTTTCCTGCTATTATTTCTGTAAACAGGTTTTTCACACCATCTGTGCAGACCATTGGATTTAATGCCGGCACTTTCAGAGCCGGGCCCCTCCGAAAGTTACACGCAACCAGCCGGCTCCTTACTGTGAAGAATGGGACCCCTGCATCCTTCCCGGCCCCACCTTCTCACGGGATCTAGGGCTTGCTTGTCGCTCACACAGTTGCTGGGCTGGGGTGACACCAAGAACCCTGAAGCGCTGCTGTCCTCCAGCCCAGTCCCAATCACCCCTCACAAAGTGGCTCCTGATGACACCCTCTCGGACCCGGGGGGTGCTGCCCTGGGCTTCCTCTTCACCAGCCTGCCTTGTAGGAGTAAAGCCCCGTTGTTTCTGCGGGTTACAGCAGCCACGGGATTTTCTCTGGGCCAGAAACCACGGCCTCTGGCTGGAACTGCTGATCCTCTCCAACTTACCTTGTGTCAGTGGAGGCCGCTGTGGCTCAGGAGCGGGGTGAGCCTTCCACGCTGCTCTGCTCTCTCCTCGGCATTGCGCTCTGCTTCTCCATCTTCTTTGTAGCCTCTAGTTTTCCTGTCAGCTCCTCACCTATTCTCAGAAATATACTTTTTTCCCCTCTTCATCAAGTTACTGTTCTTCAGGTGTCTCGATTCCAGACCCCAAGAGGCTGCATTTGCTATAGCTCTCTACTCCGCCATTTTTAATCCTTGCTCTTTCTTTTTAATCTTCAAATTCTAGTTTATCTTGACTATCATGGGGCAAATTTTCTTAAGAATATAGTGGATGCGCTCAATGTGTGTTTCTCTATTTTAGGGAACTTTGTGTGATGAAGAATTTCAGTTAGTTCTTGTCCAGTGTCCTATTCTGTTTATTCCTATGTTAAAACTTTTTGTTTGATGACTATTACTTTCTTTTTTTGTTTGTTTGTTTGTTATTTTGAGACAAGGTCTCACTATGTAGTTGAGCTTGACCTGGGTCTCACTATGTAGTCCAGGCTGGTCTCATACTCACAGCGATCCTCCTGCCTCAGCCTCCCGAGTGCTAGGATTACAGGTGTGCACCACCACACCCAGCGACTGTTACTTTCTTTTGTAACTGTGCCCTTCTTCATTTTGTTCTCTTTTCCCTAGTTTTATTTGTTTGTTGTTTTTGTTTTTTCCAGTACTGGAAATCAAATGCAGGACCTTGTGCTTGCCAGGCGAAGCATGGCGCCCTGTTTATCTGGTTAAACAGTTTGCATCTCTTATGTCATAGGAAACATTTTTAAAATTTTCATTTACCTCCACTGTTGTGTTATTAGCTGCAAATCTTTTTTTTTTTTTTTTTTGGTAGTGGGGATCCGACTTAGGACCTTCTACTTGCGAGGCAGACAATGGAAGCACTGAGCTAAATCCCTGGCCTTGCAGATCCTTATTTTGTAGATGTTTGCTCAGTGTCTCCAGTATGCATCATTAACTTATCACAATCTATCTTCAATATTATGCTATCTCATTTTTAATGAAAGAAACAGCCATGTAAGGCTGTATTATTCCATTCCTCACTCTTGACCTTTGCGTTACTTTAATAATATAATTTCCTACCTATACTTCTTGTGTTGTTAGCTGTCTTTTATAGTAATTTTTAAATGAGGAGAAAATCTTATTTGGTTTATCTTATTCGATTATCTTTAAGTCCAAATTCCCATTTGAAATTTTAATTCTTCCTGATTAACTTCCTTTAACATTTATTTTAGTAAAAGTCTGCTGGCATCGTCTCAAGCTTTTGTTTCTTTTTTCCATATACATCCATATAGATGTATTCCCATATTCAACCTGGGCTGCCACAAACTCAGAGAGCACAGGGATATTTCTTTTCACATCTTAGTGCAAACCAAAAGTACAACAAATTGGTCAAGGTCCATCAGTGGATACAGTCTCAGGTTTTGTGTGTCTGACAAAATGTTTAACTTTCACTTTTGAAGTGCACTGTCACAGGTTACAGAATCCTAGGTTGACAGTTGTCCTCCCTTGGTATAATGTTCTGGTTTGCACAGTTTCTGAAATGAAACCTGTTGCATTCTTGCATTTGCATCTATGTCTCTTTTCTGTTGGTGCTTTTCAGATTTTCCATCATGTGTTTTTAGCAATTTGATTATAACATGCTTTGCTGTGGTTTTCACTGTTTATTCTGTTCATGTTTCTTTGACGTTCTCAGATCTGTGGCTTTATAATTTTCATCCAATTTGGAAATATTCAGCTATTGTTTCTTTAAATGTTTTCCTTTTCCTTCTCTTTCGCTTTCCTTCTGGAACTTCCAATTACACATAAGATATATTCATCTATATTAAGAAAGAAAAAAAGACACCCTTCCCCCACCAGTGAAATTGCTACTATCAGCAAGGAATAGTACAAAAGCTGTACTAAATTTAGAACCATGACAGTTCTAATAATTCTATTAAATTAATTATTTCCAAAAAATTCATCAATATTGTGCCACAGGACACTCGACATCTGCACTTTTTCTTGGATCATGTTCCCTCTATACTTAATTTTGGAAAATATCATTTTCTGTATGCTCCAAGTTCACTATCACGTCTTCATACCCAATCTGTTGTTAATCCCATCTGATATATTTTCTTTTAATTTCAGATGCCGTACTTCATATCTGTAGAAGTTGCACTAGGGCCTTTAAAAAACCTTTACTTTCTCTTACTATGTTCGTGCTTTCATTTACATTATCAAGCATATTTGTAGTAGCCATTTTAAGGTTCTAACCTGATTTTTATGTCTTCGCTGTTTCTCATGTTTGACTCCTCCTACTAATTCCAGTTATGGTCATATGTTCCAGATTCTGAGATGTCTGTTGAGTTTTTACTAGATGCTAGACATTGTGAGGTTTACACTGTTAGGTTCTTGATTTTGCTGTATTCCTTTAAAGTGTGTTATACTTTGCTCTAACAAACTACAGTTGTTTGGTATCAGGTTAATTCTTGACTCTAAAAAGGCTTATATTGTGTATGTATTTATCAGGGGATGACTTGTTATTGCTTCTGAAGGGCTACTAACTCTTCATTCTGTTTTTTCCAGCTTTATTGTATTAAGATAATATAAACAAACTTTACATTTTCATAAAGGCAGGCTTTGGTTAAAAAAATAAAAGGCAGACAGACCTCCTATCTCCTGCCCTATTCAGAGTAAGGCAAAACCAGAAATTGCTTGGTTACTCAATTTGCCACTAGGAAGAAAAAAAATAAAAGTATATATATATATAATTTTTTTCATAGAGGACTTAGTTTTAACTTCCAAATTTAACAAACTCCAATACCTTGTTTCCTGGCTTACATGGTCACCCTTAAAATCCAACATTTTATTTTTCTTATACAGTTGATGGCTAGTTGAGGTATCTATCAATGTATGTACTCTGTTCTGGAATTTTCAACTATTTTTTTCTTTTCTAAATTTTCTCTTTATTGTAAGCTAAACTAGATATTTAATTATATGTGTGTTTCATCTATCATTTTTAGGTATTTGAAGTTAAAGTATTTTCAGATATTTAGTCTGTTGTATTTTATGATGTTGCTTTTCTTGCCAGCAAATTTTGAAACTTTTACTTCACTGGATTTCACTATTATGTTTTTTGAAATTATTCATATCATGTCAAATATAAGGTTTTTTTATATCATCACAGTATCTCATTCTTTATTTATTGTGTTTCTCAATCTCCAGTGCACTCTATAAGGCTTGCTGGAAGAGAAAGTCGGATTGAAGAACCATTTGCAAATGACATCTATGAGATAGTTGATGAAATCGTTCACGCTTTGCTGCCATTGGTCCAGGATAAGCCATTTGCATTTTTTGGCCATAGGTATTTAAAATTTGTTTTAAAGGTTGGGGGAGTCTTAATCAAAGTTTGTGGGTAATGTTGTTCTTTGTGTTTTGTGAGGTGCATACCTTTCGTACTGGTTAAACAGCATAGTTTATTAGTACATGTCTGCAGTGCATGATGATTACATTCATCGTGGGAGCTGGTGCACGTACATAACACATCTCAATTTCTTTCCCCCGCTTTCTCTCCACCCTCATAAAAGGCATACTGAATAATTATGACAAATCAGAACTCTTACTACTCTCCAAACTGTATAGTAATTACACCTTTTTTCCTTTCCAGCAGAAAAACCAAGACTTATAAAAGCAAGGGTCATTCCATTTATTTATAAAATTAAAATTATGCAAATAGTGTTTGTATCTTAAATTGGATTGTATAATCTTGAGGTTAGGTCATAGATCCTAGGGTTCTGACCGCATCTTAGTAGCTATGTGACCTTTGGCAAATTCCTTAGGCTTCTATATTAGTTTGCTTCTCTATAAACTGAAGTAATAATAATTCTTATTTGTGGGGCTTAAAAGAATAGCAGTCATATCTTGGTATATAGTAAGAAACTTAGTGTTACCTACTGTAATATACAATTTTTATAAATATGGCAAAGCAAAAATTAAAAAAATAAAAATACTATCCTACCACTCAGACAACAATGCTTTAAAAATTTTTTAGTATGTTTGTCATACATATTGATCACATTTATATAAGAAATTTGTTCCTGTATATAATATATCTTTTTTTTTTTTTTTTTTTTTTTTTTTTTTTGTACTGGGGATTGAACTTGGGCTCTTGTGCTTGCTAGGCAGGTGGCAGAACCATTGAACCAAATCCCCGGCCCTGTAACATAATATATCTTAATTCTTCCTTTTTTCCCATTCCCTTCTCCTCCTTCAACTCTTCCCCTCCCAATTTACTTTTGTGATTCCTTAGTATTTCTACATGACATGAACCAGTTATATTTTTGTCTGAATTTTATCACTTAAATATTACTATGAAACATCTTTCACAGATGAAAGTATACAATGTTTCATGATTTGTTTTTATTAATTTCCTTCTGCATGGAAATTACTTTTTTTCCTGCTATGAACATTTCAGTCAATACTCTTTTAAGAAATTTAGTATAAATCTCTTATTTTCTTAGGATAAATTCCCAGAATTTAAATTAAATGCTATGTACATCATTAAAGCTCTTTCCAAATTACCTGTACTTTCCACTCCATCAGCAATGGACATAGGACCGAGTTCTCTTCACTTTCATGGGATATAGAAATACACAACTTACAAATATTTGAATAACCTTTGGGAGTTTTGTCTACACAGTATATCTATACAATATCTATAGAAGTTCGCAAACCTTTTGGTCGCAGTCCTCCATTATACTTTTTTTTTTGTTTGCACTGGGGATAGAACTCAGGACCTTATGCTTTCGAGGCAGGCGGTGGCACTAAGCTAAATCCCTGGCCCCTCCATTACACTAAGATATTCTGAGGATGCCAAAGAGCTTCTGTTTATGTGACATAGCTTTTCAGTATTTAGCACATTATAAAGCACAATCATGAAAACTTTACTTACCAACTTAACTAAAAATAACAGTAGCAACAACATATGTTGTTGACATAAACATATCTTTTTATAAAGATTATATTTCCTCCCCAAAATGTAATGTGAAGAGTAGGATTGTTTTACCCTGGCAAGTCTGTTTTAAAGGAAGGCGGCTAGGGCTGGGGATTTAGCTCAGCAGTTCGGTGGCCTGCCTTGCAAGTGTAAGGACCTTTTTTTAAAAAAAAAAAAAAAAAAAAAAAAAAAAAATAGAAGGTGGCTGGATTCACTAATATCCCAAGACATACAGCCTATGGGAAACTCCACCATGCCCTTACTGGAATAGGACAGTACAAAAGGCAAACAAAATTTTAATATTATCTTGAAATTAGCTTTGACCTTTAGGGCTACTTGGTTAGGATCTCAGAAATCCCCAGGGTCCCCACACCATCCTTTGAGAACTGCTGATGTCTTATCTAGAGAAGGTTTATCTTGGCTCTCATTTTGTGTCAGTCCATGATTGGTTGGCCGTGTTACTTTTGTGGCAAAACAACACATAATGGAATAAGCATATGGCAGAGTAAAACCACTGACTTGATACCTAAGAGATGAAAGAGAAAAGAAGGAAAAGGCTTGGATATCACAGTGCCCTTCAGAGGTACACACCCAAAGACCTTCTACCAGGCTCTACTCTTAAAAGTCACCACCACCTCCCAACAGCAGCATGCCGGGAACCAAGATATAAACACAACGACCTTTGGGGGACATTCCAGGCCTAAACTACAGCACTGTGGAAATTGGTACTAAATCTTGCACTGAATCATCTAGCATGTATTTGAAACACTTTATGTTGACATTAGTCATTGGAAATATACCTTTGCAAATCAGAGTTATTAATTAACCTACACTTTTGAGTATTAGACGATTATCGCTGTGCTCATGATACCTAGATTACCACAGACTTGGATAGTTATTATCATATTTGTCTCCCCCAATTTAGCATGGGATCCTATACTGCTTTTATGACTGCACTACACCTGAAAGAAAAATATAAGCTAGAACCAATCCATTTTTTTCTATCAAGTACAACTCCTCCTTATGTAAGTAATTTAGTTTTCTTTGGCGAGAGGAATAAATAAGAGGGCAGTGGGGAATGTTATTTTCCTATCTGGCAAATTTGGGTCCAGCGTGGAAATGATGACAGGGATGTGATTTGCTATTGGAAATCCTTTAAATCTGTTTCAATGTCCTTCAATTTCCACAGCTCCCTGATCATTGCCTGCATTGTTCTGATCCCTTTGAACTCATACTGACCACCAGTTCTTTCTTCTTTCTCATGTTGATTCTGCTCAGAACTTAATCAACTTTCAGGAAGGTAACCAATCAGAGCCAGAAAATATCCTTGAAATTTCAAAGCAACGGTGATGTGAAATTTTCAGAAGTACTGTGGCTTGGAACTCAGTGCTACGGTTCTGTCCTCTTCCGCCTTTTACCCCCACCATTTTCTCTGCAGAGACCCAGACTGACCTGGGATTTGAAATCCAGAATGTAATTTTCATGTTATTATTACACTAAAATTACTGAGGAAGTGCCTTCTCCCAACTTTAGAAAAGAAATAGCTCTTCTCTGAAGCCTGTAGATAAAATCCATTTAACTTTGATTTAAGGACTTTTTCCTTAGATAGTTTTCAGCTTAGGAGCTAATAGTTTCCTAAAATAACAGGATTCTGTTTGTTGATGTTTCAAGTCAAAGGCCCACATTCAGATTCCCAATCTCGATGGACTGTCAGAAGAACAAATTAAACGTTACCTTATAGATTTTGGAGGCACCCCAAAGAGTCTTGTGGATAACCAGGAATTTTTAAAACAATTTATTCCTGTTCTATCAGCAGACGTGCACATTTTAAGGAATTTAAGGTAAGTAACCAAGACAAGTTTGTCTGTGTGCGTGCTTGTAGAAAAATACAGACTGGCGGTTCTCACTAGCTTCGCATATGGGAAGACAATATTATAAGTGCTGGATTTCATTTTCCTTGGGGTCATCTGTGCTATTTGTACTGGCCTAGAATGGAGCCTGGGCACAGAAATTCTGTCTATATAAGATAACAAGCATATATTTTCTTTTTAAAGACTTACAGAGGGCTAGGGATGTAGCTCAATGGCACAGTGCCTGCCTGGCAAGCTTTAGGTCCTGAGTTTGATCCACAGTACCAAAACAAACAAACAACAACAAAACCCATATAGACATGCACCATTTATCACGTAATATTCATCGATTAATGTCAAAATATTGTCATTTATTGATTTTGGTCTTTTGAAACATGGTGTTGCTGTTGCTGTGTAGTTCAGGATGGCCTGGAACTCACAGCAATGTTCCTGTCTCAGCATGTTCACAAGTCCCTCCGTTCACTGCCCACCTTCCACCCATCACAAAGTTCATGACTTGTCTCTTACATGTACCAGCCCGTACACAGCTCTCCATTTCTACTTTGACCATTTTCAAGTCCCTGTCTGATAGTTCCAACATCTGGGTCTATACACACCTGACTCTTTTGATCGTTTTGTCTCTTAACAATGGATTTCTTGCTTTCTCCTGTGTCTGATATTTTCTATTGAAAGCCAATTGCATGTGAAACAGTAGACTGAAATCAACCTGTGATGTGAATGTAAGCACATCTCTCCTCTGTTGTTAGAGAGTAAAGCCGAGCTGGGTCTTAGTTTTGTTGTTGCTATGGTTACCCTGGTGGACCACCAGCTCCTGAGTCCTTTGCTATTGTTGTGGGGGGTTGGCTGCCAAAGGATTTTTTTCTCAATGGTCCTGTTCCAGCCTTAGCTTTCATTCTTCCCTGTGGATCATAAACAGGTGCTTTCCACCTGTCTCAAGGTGGGCCTTCTCTCTGGCCTCCTGTCTTGCTCCCCATCTTTCTCCTGAACCCCTAGTGGAGGCCATGGAAAACAGCCTGGGGGTCAGAGCAAGGTCCATCTGATACACCACCCTGCACTGGGTCTCCAACACTGTTGAACGTCCAGCTGACTTTAGGCACACCTTTTCGGTGTATTTTGCCACTCCTGAGCCCATGCCCACACTCCACTCTCCTTAGAGGTGCCTGACCCTTCAAGGAACTCAGTTCCCCTTTGCCTTACAGACAGCTCTCTATGAGTTGATCTGGGTTTGGGTCTCTGTCAGGTGGTGGCCCTCCTCGTTTTACATATTTTTGGCAGAACAGAAATCCTGACCTGGGCTACTGAAAGAGACCCTTAGTTGGTCCTCTCCTGCTCTTCACGCCCACCCTGTATCCACACAGATGATTATCGAGTTCAGGTGCCTTGCCTGAAATCCTTCTGGGGACATCACTTTGGGAACCACAGTCCTTTAAGTAGTCTACACCGGAGTGGCTCTTGTCTAGCTCTTCTAGCCTAGTCTGTCCTGACCCTTAGTTCTCTGGGCAATAGGGATTCACGTGAGCTCCTTCCCTTCCTGCTTCCCTGCTGTCTCCATCTCTGTGGCCACTTCTCTCCTATCCCTCAGATCTCAGATCCACTCTGCTTGCCCAGGGAGACCTGCCTTCACCCTACCCCACCCTCCCTGTCTGTCCCCAGTTGTTTATTTCATTCATGTCTGTCTCTGGAGCCAACGCCCCCAGCTCTAGAAGGCAGGGACTATGTGTTTTCTAGTGTCTAGCACAGCACCCAGCATCTGGCTCAGGAAACAGGCTTATGCTGCTGTGATGAGACAAAGAGGGACCTGCTCTGGTTTTGTGAACGGCAGCCATGGTGAACGAGCTGGGAGACAGCAGACAGGCTGCGCTGGGTATGACCGCTAAGAGCTAAAAATGCTCCTGGTAATCAGGGTCCCGAGTCAGCCCCAGTGCCACCTGCATCTGCTAGAAGTCAGGAGACACTGGACCTGTTCCAAGGTGAGGCTCAGGCAGGCTCTGATAGGAAGGAGTGAAAGAAGTGTTTGCTTTGCTGTACTGAGCAGAAGGGGTGGAGGTGAGGAGGCCCCTTTTCACTTTGTGAAGTCACTGCGGGAGGAGTGATGCTTGTTAACCAAATGACGATCAGCTCTGCCCTGTTCACAGCTTCCACGCACCTGCTCAGCCCGAACTTTCCTGCGACTTCACATGCTTTGCTGGATCTGAAGACATCACAAAGGATATGGAAGGTGAAATTATTTTTATAGTTTTGGGTATTTTATTGAAGTACGTACTTGTGGTTTTTCAGCAAATCTCAATTAGTAGTTACTGCCATGAGTAGAAAATTGTTCTGCTTAGTGTAAGTGGAAAGATGTTGATATTGGGTAAAATGAGAGAACTTAGGTAATGCTACTGCACACTGATAAATCTTAGAGAAATTAAAAAATATAGGACAAGAATCTGAGCCCTTAACTCTACCAATGGGTGTCAGCTCCTATAAAAAAATCTTAAAGTAAATCTTTCCTTGTAGCTGGTAAATGCTATTTGTTATTAAATACAATTTCATTTATTTTTAGCCTGGAAAATTGTAACCAGTGGAACTTTTGACCTTCACATACTGCCAGGAAATCACTTTTATCTTATGGAACCTGCCAATGAAAATTTCATCAAGAACTATATAACCAAGTGTCTAGAACTGTCTTTACTTGCCAACCGTTAGCTTTTTTTGGCCTTAAAATAGTCAAAAGTGTTGGGCTAGGCATGGTGATGCATGCCTATAATATCAGCACTTGCAAGACTAAGGCAGCATGATCGCAAGTTCAAAGGCAGCCTGAGCTGCATAGCAAGACTGTCTCAAAAAAAAAAAAAAAAGAGAAAGATCACATTGTCCTGTCATTCAGACATAGCTCCTTAGTTTTAGTCAGAGTTTGGAAATTATACATTTTCTCTTAGAATGCTTTGTTTATATATTAATGGATCACTCCATGGAACATTTATGTATCGGGATAAAAAACATGGACATTTATGTGTGAGGGGGTAAAAGACAAATGGGTAAAGAATGCTTCTGGCAGAGTCCTTTATAGTTGTATTTGAAACTGAGGTGATTCTCATTTGTGGGAAGGTTGTCAACAATTTGCTTGGCAAATTAACTATTTCTTTCTTTGATAATTGCTATTATTACTATTTGCAGTGGTAAGGGTTGAACCCAAGGCCTCATACTCAGATGTTCTACACCATACCATTACCAGGCAAATTCTCTGCATACATCCCAGCCCCCTTCAGTTATTTTAATGGTGCAAGTGATTGACAGGGGAAATAGATGAAATTAAAATTACTGTATTAGCAACCTCCAGGCTTGATCTTATCTTTTGAGATATAGTGGGGTAGTATTCAATAGACTGCAACCTGCTGCTTTATTAAGCAATTCCTGTCCTTTGCAGCAGGAGGTCCCCAGCCCTCTTTCCAAGGAGCTTCTTGATACCCAGGGCTGGGTGGCTCTGGGTGGCCCTGCTACCTTGGCAGGAAAGCAGGGTGAGTCTCCAAGCACAACCAGTCTGTGGCCTGGCCTGCAGGGTGGAGACGGTCAGGCACCAAGGTCCTGCTGAATAGGCTGCCTCACCCTCACCTTTTCCCTGGGTGACTTGAACTCGACAGAAGGGAAGAGCAGAGCAGCCTGACAGGAACAGCAACCAAGAGAAAAAGAAAGTAGAAACAGGAGAAATTAGCTAAGTCAGTACAATGGCGGAATATTACAAGGGTGCTGTACAGACGCCTACTAAGAGGACTACACAGTCATTCAGACGGGAGCTGCCTGGCCCAGACCTCTGTCAGCTCCCATGCTTTCTCTTCAAGGCCTGACTACTGTAATCACATACCCCAGCTTCCTTACTTTCTCCATATCTTTACAATAAATCACACTTCTTAATACAACTTCTGTGTCTTCTTTACAGCTTACTTTGTGCAACATAACATCATATTAAGATGTTAACTTTTAAAGCATCAGTGTGAGCCATGTGTGGTGGTGCACACCTGTAATCCCAGAACTTGGGAAGCTGAGGCGGAAGGGTTAGGAGTTCACGACCAGCTTAGGCTATACAGTGGGTTCAAGGCCATTTGGACTAACATAGAGAGACACAATCTCAAAAACACAAACAAAAATCAATGTGTGTGATCATATAACAAGGGCTCATGCTTATGTTAGTAACTTAAAATAACATACCCAGGGTCTCAGTAGAAACGAAGAAGGAAAACAGATACAGGAGACGTTTTCCAGAATTTATTATGCCTTGTTGACAAATGACAAATAATATAAAATTAATTATTGAGAAGGGAGGCTGCCAGTTAGAATTCATATAATGAATTTGAGGTTAGAAAGGGCCTCAAGCAAATTTTGTTGGATGTTCAGTTTTTGTTGTCCTTTACCCTTTAATTTGATGCCATTTCCAGGGCCCCTTGCCAAAGGGCTGGTCTGAAGGTTGTCTGGATCTTCGATTATTGATTTGAAAGTCTTCCAGTGTAGTCCACAGCAAGAGGCTCCCAGTGAGCTGACAGCAGGCCTCCCCTGCCTCTCACTGGCCAGAAGATCATGCCCAAGCGATGGCTCGGGACTTTAAGAGACCAGGGCGATCACTGCCAAGGCCTTTTCTTTAGAGGTTTGGGCCTTGACTGCACTGGGAAAAACTTCTGTAGGTAAAACTTAGCAATGAAGAGAATCAACTTTGCTTTCTGAATCAGCTTTACTTCCCCAAAATTTCCAGTTAAGAATCTATCTTAAATTTTTTCAACAGTACTGGAAATTGAGTCAAGGGCCTCATGTATCCTAGGCAAATGCCCTGTCACTCAGCTCTTCCTAGCTCTTTTTTATGTCTCCCCGCCCCCATACCAGTAAATGAACCAAGACCCTGCACTTGCCAGGCAGGTGCAGCATCATTGAACTAAATCTCTAGCCCTGTTTAATTTTTCTTGAGACAGAGTACTGCTGTGTTTGTCCAAGCGGAGCTCACATTTGAGATCCTCCTGCCTCAGCCTCCTGAGTAGCTGAGATCACAGATGTGTGCCACTGTGCCTAGTTTTTCTTTTACTTAAGCTTATTTTTTGAGATAGTGTTTCAATATATAGTTCAAGATGACCTCAAACTCACAGTGATCCTCCTGCCTCAGCCTCCCAAGTGCTGGAGTTACAAGTGTGGGCCACCATGCCTAGCTTAAACATTTTGAGAGATAACTATAGATTCCTATGCAGTTGTAAGAAATAATACAGAGATCCTATACAGGCTTTTACCCAATTTCTACTACTAGCAAAACTGTGTAAGAAGCTACATATAATGTTGTGTCATTACTGACATTGTTACAGTTGAGATGCATAACATTCTAGTCCAGCAGATCCCTCCATGGCCTTTCCATAGGACCATCCACCTGCCTCCCTGCTAGCAACCACTATTCTGTCCATCCTGCCTACAGTGTTTTCACTGCAAGAATGTGACAAGAGTGGGGCCGCAGCATGGTTGTGGTTAGGATCTGGGACCCTCACAGCACATCTGAAAGGCTAGGTCCCCCGCCTAGGGGAAGGCAGTTAGGTCCCTGGGGACACCTTGGAGGAGGGACAGGACACTGCCCTTCCTCTCTCTGCTTCTCAGCTGCCTCGGGGTGAGCACCTTCCTCTGTTTCCACCATGCTGCTAGGCCTCATCCCAGGCCCAGAGCAACAGGGCCAAGTACCCATGGACTAGAACCTCTGAAACTGTGAGCCAATATAACCCTTTTCTCCCACAGAGCTGATGACCTCAAGCATTTTGACCCAGCAAGGACATTATGGAACTGGCTTTTTGCACTCAGCTTATTTCCTGAAAATTCATTCAGCGTATCTAGGTGGTAGCGGTTTTTTTAAGGGGGGAAAAAAAAAGTCAATCTATGCCTCCGATAATACCACAATAACTCTGCAGTCTTATTTACAGAACAGAAACATATTCTTTTGGGGGATAGTCACCCTATACTCATCCTATAGAATCTAAGGTTTTCAAACTTAAGATGTGTGTGTGTGTGTGTGTGAGTGTTACTAGGAAACGAACTCAATACCTTCACACTCAGCTACTTCCCAACTGATTTTTTATTTTTGGACCAAGTCTCACTCAATTGCCCTGACTGGGCTCCAACTTGTGATGAGCTGAAGCTGTGTGTCTTTTTCTTTTCTTTACTTTACTTTTCTTTCTTTTCCTTTCCCTCCCTCCCTTTCTTTTTCTTTCTTTTTTTAAATGCATCAACAAGTTTGAAGCTGTCTTCTTTCAAAGAGCCTATGAATCAGCCAGAAGGACTGAGTGTGGGTTGTTATACCCCAGGCTTTACATTGGCATTCTGATAAAACGGAGCACAAGGGGCTCAGTGGGGGACAGTTCATCACTAGATATATTTTAGTTTGATTCATTTGACTTAAGTGCAAAAATTTTAAGAAAAATAGCAGATATTTCCATGGTGGCTTTTTTTTTTTTTAATAAGAGCTACAGAGCCACAGACTTTTAAGTTCCTTCTTTTTTGCTTTTTTGTGGTGCTGGAGATCAAACCCAAGGCTTTGTGAATCTATCACAAAACTACACCCTGAGCACCCCATAAGTTTCTTTAAAAAGTATTTTCAGCTCACCCCAGAAAGAATGGCTGCTATGAAGAAATCAACAAATAACAAATGTTGGCGGGGTTGTGGGGAAAGAGGAACCCTTCTTGGATTAGAGGTTGCATTTGACCCAGCTATCCTTCTGCTGGGTATCTTTCCAAAAGAATGAAAAGAATCATACTACAGTGATATATGTGTACCCACGTTTAGAGCGGCACAGTTTGTAATAGCTAAAACTAGGAACAGCCCAATTGCCTATCAGTTGGAGAATGGATAAAGAAGACGTGTTTTTTCTATAAAATGGAATACTACTCAGCCATAAAGAGTGAGAAACTAAAGTCATTCACAGGAAAATGGATGCATATTAATGCCATACTCTTAAGTGAAATAAATAAGACATATGTATAAATACCAAATAGTTTCTCTGGTATGAAAAACTAAAAGTGTAAATAAGATCCAAATTGTGTAACTGATAATGTGAAAGAGGAAGAAAAGGGCTAAAGGTGTAGGGGAAGTGGGAAGGGTAGGGGAAAGGAAATAAGGGAAAAGGAAAAAATGGCAAAAGGGAAAAAATGGAAACAAAGTCTTTGTAAATAGGGAAGGGTGGAGGGGGTAAAGGGAGGTAAGGGGTATGAGGAAAAATGAGAACCAAAATCTGTCGTGCAAAGGTACAAGATCCCAATGATGAATGCAACTGTACTATATACTTAAAAGTACCAGTAAACTCAATAAAAAAGAAAAAAGTACTCTCAAGTAACACAAGAAAAACAGTGGTTTATGGTTTAAGAAAGTTATGCAGAAAAGAATTCAGACTAGAAATAAACCTACTAAAATAGGTAAACAGTACTTGGTGCCTCTGACTATTAGTAAATTTCCTGACTCTTAAATACTTCTATGAGCTCAACATGCTCTAGAAAGCGCCTGTGTTGTTTTTAATGAGGACAAGAGGAAAATGCCGAAGGGGAAGCATGGGGTTCAGCACCCCAGGGGTCTGGTCCGCTGTAAAGGCTCACCCCTTTCCCAGTGCCACCAACTCAAGGCCTCTGTGGGCCTAGCCTCAAGGTTTCTGCAAAAGCGTGTGGTCCTTGCCTTCCAGGAAGGAGTTTCTGGAAAATTG